TTATATGTCTAGCTCCCAGCTGTTTGCTGCAGCCAACACCTGGCTAGAAACCAGCTCAAAATGTTCCAGCTCCAGCTCCTCCCTAGTCTCCCTCTTCCCCACACAGTATGCAAAGGAGCAGGACCTGGGTTCTTTTGGGTGCATTAAAGGTGAGAACTCTTCTTAGAGTGCTTGCCTGGCCATGTAAACAGACGTGAATGCTCGAGCAGATGGATCCCTCTAACTTTCCAAATTACACCCTGGAGAAGGAGGGAACCCCCATCTTCGCACAGTTCTTTTAGTGTAAAGGTAAAGGTTCCCTTGCTCGAAAACCAGTCGAATCTGACTCTAGGGTTGCGGTGCTCATCTCCGTTTCAAAGCCGAAGAGCCAGCGCTGTCAGAAGACGTTTCCATGGTCATGTGGCTGGCATGAGTAAACACCAAGGCACACGGAACGCTGTTACCTTCCCACCGAAGTGGTACCTATTTATCTGCTTGCAATTTCTTGCTTTCGAACTGCTACGTTGGCAGGAGCTGGAACTAGAGATGGGAGCTCACTCCATCCTCTAATTCCACTTGTTTGGTAAGCTGGGGACCACAATATACAAAGTATGTAGAAGGGAAGGAATTCCATGTGGAATACCACATACCATGGATATATGGTGACAAATGTAGATGTCAGATCAATTTAGGAGACAGTTGTGACCTGATCATTAAAATAAAAGTGATCATGTAGTCACAGCCAACTTACGGTGACCTCATAGGGCTTTCAAAGCAAGAGCTGTTCAAAGGCAGTTTGCCACTGCCTACATCTGTGCAGCAACCCTAGACTTCCTTACTATTAATTTATTTATTAAGCATATTTATATGCTGCTTTTTCCCTGGAACACAGGACTCAAAGCAGCTTACAAACATCAAAAGAATAAAAATCTCAGGTGAGTAAAATCACATTAAAACATATTAAGTCTAATAGAAGTCTACTTCCAAGCAATGTTCCCTCTTAGCTGTGGAGAATTCTACTTTGTGAGCTACTGGCATTAAAGTTGTGAGCGAGCAATTTGGCTGCTGCATAAATTAGTTTGCTCTGGAGCCATCCTTCCTGAGCTAAGGTAAAAATGTATGAGCCGGAGGCTAAAATACTGTGAGCTAGCTCACACTAACTCAGCTTAGAGGGAACACTGCTTCCAAGTACTGACCAATGCTGACCCCACTTAGCTTCTAATGTCTGATAAGATCAGACTAGCCTGGGTTATCCAGGTCAGAGCACAGCCACTAGGCAAGGAGTGAGCTCTGTGTTCCTAATCAAATTCTGCTATCGTGGGATAGTATGAACGGCAATTTTTAGTGTCAAGGGTAAGGCCAGAGGAAATATTTTTACATGGGTTACAGAGCCACTCTAAGCAGAGTTGCACTTTTCTAAGTCAGCTGAAGTCAATGGGCTTAGAAGGGTGTAACTCAGTTTAGGAATGCGCTGTCAGTTGCTAAAATCAGGGTCAAACTACAGATTACATGAAAGATCCTTGATTGGATCTCCCAATGTGTTTTGGCCCTAAAAAGCAGCTGCGGGAGGTTCCAGCTGCAAGCAGATCTGTCTTTGCTTGTTTCCTTTCCCTATGAGCTAACAGCCTAGAAGGGAGTAGTTTGACTGGGAAAATGGCATGAAGGAGAATACCTGCCCCCCCCCCATTGCACAGCCCCATGGTCCTGATCTGAATCTCTTTCCTAGAGGTTACTTTCAAGGGGCAAAAACACATTTGGAGAGCCAGTCATGGATTTTTAATATCAAATGTAGTTTAGCCCTTAATCTGTAGGTACATACATCTAGAAGATTGTCTTTAAAGGAAGTCAGCAGCATGCAAATGGGGGAAAGGAAGGGTGAGCAAAGACCAGATAAGCATATGAGCAGCAGTCTTGTGCCTGTTGGAACCTAAAAGTAGAGGCTACTGTGAGTCAGGTATTCTCTTAAGGATAATCACAGTGTGTGATCAGCCTATAGACATGACTAATGTTGATTTTCTAGTTCAGGACCCCGAATCCTAGTTGAGAACCGTGATTCAAGGCAAGACCTTGCATTTATACAGCAATCATTCAAAGCGCTTTACACATGGCAATATGGCCAAAACTTTACCCACCAACCCTGGAAAGTAGATTGGTATCATTACCCACATATTTCAGATGAGGAAGCTGAAATGCGGAGCTTATAGCTACTTAAAAGAGTTTATGAATGAGGCAAGATTTGAACCAAGGGCTTCCGAATTCATGGTCCACAGTCCTAGCCCTTTCACTTTGCTGTGTAATCTTCAACATTATTGTTGTGGCTTATCTGCAGTGAACCAGGGTTATACACTGGTTCTATGTTAGTCACACCAACAGGCCTGTTCCATCGGCCACTGTTTAGGCTGCAACAGTACCCATCATAATTCTAAAGATGCTTGGCACATTTTGTTTTTTCTTTCACACCACTTAGGGGACACAGAGAACTTTCTCCCACAACACACATGCAAATGCTGTCCTGTCTGATGATTTGCTAGAGGGGAATGTAATCCTGGCATCAAAGCCAGGAGGGGAGGAGGATCCACCTCTGCTTGGTGCCAAGGGGTTAAACTCACACTGAGTTCCTGAAGCCAGTTCCTTCCAAGTCAGAGTCTGCCTGCTGGCTGCGGTTAGAGGGAAGGGATTTTGTTTTTTAATAGCATTATAAATAGGGCTGTGTTCAGCTTGCTGCAGACTCACTCTCTCCTTCACGTCCCTTTCTCCCTCCTCCTTTTGCTGCTGCTCCTCCTCTTCCCTACACATCCATTTCAGTTCTATGGACATGGACCGGTCAGGCTTCTTAATCAAGCTCTTCGGCTTACTGCTGTGTCTCCTGCCCATTCTTCAAGCATGTCCCCAAAATTGTCACTGCCATGGAGGAGACCTGCAGCATGTCATCTGTGATAACGTTGGACTGAGAAAGATCCCTAAGGTGGCTGAGCAGACAAGGCTCCTCAATCTGCAAAGGAACAACTTCCCTGTCCTGCCACCCAATGGCTTTAGGGAGATGAAAAATCTTGTTTCCCTCCATCTTCAACATTCCCACATCAAGGAGATCTCCAGTGGGGCCTTCCGGGGCCTGAAGCAACTGGTTTACCTCTATTTGTCCAATAATGACATCAGCATCATAAAGCCAGGAGCCTTTGATGACCTGACAGAACTTACCTACCTCTACCTAGACCACAACAAGATCTCTGACCTGCCCAAGGGGGTCCTCTCACCGTTGATTAACCTTTTCATCCTGCAGCTGGGTAGCAACAAGCTCCGAGAGTTGAGAGCAGGAGCCTTCCATGGTGCTAAGGACCTTCGCTGGCTCTATCTTTCAGATAATTCCATCTCCTCCATCCAGCCTGGGGCTCTGGATGATGTGGAAAACTTAGCTATCTTCCACCTGGATAAGAACCAACTAAGCACATACCCACAGGCTGCAATGAGTAAACTAAGGGTGGTGGAGGACCTGAAGCTCTCATACAACCCTATGAAGGTCATCCCTGATTTCGCCTTCCAATCTTTTGGGCGATATATGGAGACCCTCAGCCTGGAGAACATGAGCCTTGAAAAGGTAAGAGCTCCTTGGCATTCCTTTTAGTCTTCCTAGAATTATGTATCCATTTGTTCATTTTCTCCAATAACAAAATTTCATATTGTATGTCTACGAGTGAGGCAATAAAACAGGGCTACCCACAGAAAAGACGGGAGTCCCTGAATGCTTAGGGGATTTCCTGAGAACACAAAGAATTATTTTGGCAATTCAAATGAAGTATAAGAAGAAACAAAGCCTCTAACCTGTCCTGATAAGAACCGAGCATGTTCACTGCCTTCTAGGAAGCACAGAATATAAAGGGAAACAAAACAGGGAGGAGAAACTAGCCTGTTTGAGCCTTTTAGGGCTTATAGTATTTTGAAAGATTTATGACTGGGAGAGTTTTCCCAACTGTTTACATCCCTCCCATTCCTCACAGGGACCAACCCACATATATGCCAGGTTTCAACATTCCATCCCATTCTTCCAGCATTCCATCATACTGATCAAGATACAGAAATTAGGGGTAAGACTAAGGAGATAGGAGCAAATTCTCAATGCTGGGTTCATCAGGGACAGGATTTTACCCCTCCCCCCCAAAAAATAGTTCCCAAATGCACCCATTCACTGTCTTCCAAATAATTAAGTTGCAAGTTATTTCTACGGGGGAAAGTGCTGCATGTTGACACCGTAACTCTGTCTTCACACATGCCCCAACTATTATGACGACAGGCATTTAGCAATTTACTACAGTATTTAGAATACAGGGCTGGCATGGTTTTCAGTTGCTGCCACCAAGTTCCACAGGTAAAAGCTGTAATCTGGGACACAGCTGGTTCCTAACTCCAGAAATAGAAAAAGCTAGTAGCAGGGGACACGTTTAAGCCCCACCCCAATGGCATTCCTCAAGTGCAAACCTTTAAATTCTCCCATAAAATGTATTCCTAGAAAGCAAAATTAAAATTCTGCACATAGGAACAATACTGTGATACAGCAAGCCCCACTCACCACCCCTGACACTGGGAAGCTACCCAAAAGTGCACAGTCCCAGCAGAACTTCTGGTTTGGTTATCTACTCCTCACAACCTGATAGCTTTGTTCAGCTGGGGAAGAAAGCACAGTGCCAGTTTTGGAAAACCTTGCTGTGTTTGAGACAATGGCTTCAATGTCAGCAGAGGAGTAGGAATAGTGGAACACAGGTAGAGAAAAGGAGTGGAATCCTCCGTTCCTCTCCCTCACTTGACATGCCTGGCAACATCATTTTGCTTGACATAAACATCATTTTCTTCTTGTTCATGTCTCCTGACTTTCTGCTGATGTTAAGGAAGAAGGGCAAACCTCACAAAGCCTGCAAAATGGCTGAGCACCTAAAATAACCCCAGAAAGGCATTCACTGTGTGAGCTAGTCAGTTACAGTACAAAGACATTGACTACAGTGGCTCTACAAAGAAGAAAAGGGCCAAAGTTACAACAGAGAAGAGATTGGATTTATACCCGGCCCTTCACTACCCAAAGGAGTCTCAGAGTGGCTTACAATCTCCTTTCCCCTCCCCTCCCCACAACAGACACCCTGTGAGGTAGGTGGGGCTGAGAGAGCTCTTTTGAGGACTACTCCTGAGAGAACAGCTCTGAAAGAACTTATGACTGACCCAAGGTCACACCAACAGCTGCATGTGGAAGAGTGGGGAATCAAACCCAGTTCTCCCAGAATTGAGTCTGCAGTCCTAACCACTACACCAAACAGAGACTACTGAGTGCCCAGCTGAATATTTTTTTATTGTTGTTGGAAGATAAAATAGCTTTGAAAATGCAGCCTTTTTCTTATTCTTCCAAATTCCATAAGACTGTGCAAAGGGAAAGCACATCATCAGTCATTAGTAAAATGGCATTTCAGATGCCACTAAAAAGTTGAAAAAGTAATTTGATTTATATAAGTTCTGATCACTTACATTTTACTTCCCTAGATTTGAAATGACTTATTCTGAAATATCACCCCCTCTACTTACCAAGCCTCAGGGTCCTTTTCTCCTTCAAGTTCCCTCTCGTTATCACCTAAAGCCTTTACTGTTGCCCCCCCACTATCCTTAAATCAGCTATCTGCCTTTCTTCTAGCCCTCCTTGCTATCAATTTGAAATCCCTGTTCCCTCCCTCACTTCGTCCTTATATCTAATGTAGTTCGCAGGTCCTTTGTTCACTGACATGCCAGAACGAGTAAATAGTTGTTTATAGTAATAACCACAATTAAGATGTCTAATTCTGAACCACCATAGAAAAAAATGATGCAATGAAAACATACGTGTATGTATGAAAGACAGACACAGGGATGACCAGACGAGGGGACTGTGAGAGAAAAGTAGCTGGTTTACACTCAGACAAGACGGGCACTAACTCAAGAGGGCACAGCAATGCTCCATTTCTAAGCACCAAACTAGTTATCTGTTCCTGGTAAGATTTTGGAGTGGGCGAGTGCAGTGATCTCCACTGAAGAGATTATTAGTAGCAGTAACTAGTGAGTATACCGCAGAAAGGTACATTGGGCTCACATAAGGACGTTTGCCCTTCTCCTCCTGAACCTTACACTTTATAAAGAAGGATTTGTTTATTGATTATCTCTCAAGAGAAACCCTCACAGTATTCCACAAAGATGCTCTGTTCCAATCCTGAGAGTTGAAGGGACATTCAAGAAATGCAGCAAAAAGCTTCTCTTCTTCTCACTGAATGAGTCATGATGACCCTGAGGTAAAAGCATCATGCTTGAGATGTTACTTGTAAACAGGAGACAGCAGTGACATCACACTGGATGAAGTCTGCTCCGGGTGGGAAAGGAGGCCACATCAAAGAGGAGCAGCAGAATGGAAGACTTCCAGGTGTACAAAGAGTACAGATCTCAGTGTGCTCTGGTACCCCTCTTTCCCAGGTGAATCAACACAGCAGCTCATAACAAGATGGTAGCTCACCAAAGAGATGAAGACTGGCCAAAGAAAAGAGAAAAACAGATCGCAGCAACATGGGGAAACCTCTGAGGTGCTGGCGAACAAAATTAAATAAATGACCTTAAAATTCATGAAAAATTCCACTGAGATCAGATGTTGACATAGGTTGTTAGGTTACAAAGAAGACTCTGATGCTAGAGCTAAAGAATAAAAAGGTGGATTTATTCAAGACTGAAGTAATATGAACCCCTTGTAATAATGCTAGAGATATTTTCCATCTTAATAGTACCTCAGTAATATTCAAAAGGCTCAGCATTAACTCCGCAAAGAGATTGTCATGTGGCTGATGGATAAGAAGAATCTTGAAGTAGCCATGCATTTCCTCTAGGCTTCATCTAGATATGCCATGGACAGACAAAAGATGCAGGAATGATACGCTTCTAAGCAGATGCTCTGGAGCCAAGACTTTAAAAATGTTAAAAGAATTACATGTTTAAAATACCCCTAGAAGTCATGGTGTCTTCCTTCAGCCAAAAATCCTGGATCACAGTATGAACACTGCTCTTCAAATTTATAAATAGAAACTGGATTTGTCAGCTGAATCATAGAATTGGAAGGGACCTCCAGGGTCATCTAGTCCAACCCCCTGCATGCAGGAAGTTCACAAATACCTCCTTCCCACCTCCAGTGACCACTGTTCCATGCCCAGAAGAAGACAAAAAACCTCCAGGATCTCCAGCCAAACTGCCCTGGAGAAAAATTGCTTCCTGACCCCAAAGTGGCTATCAGCATTTCCCTGGGTATGTAAGAAAGGATCACAAGAACTAAGCACTGAGGCAACCCTTCCTGCCCTCCATCTCATGATATGCCTAAGTTCACAGAATCAGCATTGCTGTCAGATGGCCATCTAGCATCTGTCTGAAAACCTCCAAAGAAGGAGAACCCACCACCTCCCAAGGAAGCCTGTTCCACTGAGGAACTGCTCTGTCAGGAAGTTCTTCCTAATGTCTAGCCAAAAACTCTTCTGATTTAATTTCAACCCACTGGTTCTGGTCTGACCTTCTGGGGCAACAGAAAACAACTCCATACCATCCTCTGTAAGACAGCCCTTCAAGTACATGGTCATAATGGTGAAGACCATGAGGGAGCTGTCCACAGCACCATATCCAAGACGCATCTTCCACCATCTAGTGTTCTTGACAGAGTACTATTCTTCATCCTACTCCCATCAGTAAAAAACCTCTTGATTCTTCTTGCTTCTTCAATAGCTAGTCTTGTATCTATTCAAGCCCAACTAAGTCAACTCAGTCTGCTTTGGAATCCCAGCCACTGACTTCCATATATAAAATTGAAGCTTCCTTCTTATGTTATGCTGGTGGCATATAAGCTGCTGTAGCATGGTTCCCTCACATGCCACTGGTGTAAAATAAGAAGTGCTGGGCCACATAAAAGCAGCCCATGCTGTAGCCTCTCCCTATACCAGCACAGCTACTGGCATAACGTGACCCCACCCCACACTTGCAACACACACACAAAATTCCTTTCTAATTATTTTCCTCTTCGCTTAATCATTGATGGGTGGTCTATTGTTCTCTTTTGTTTTAGCAAATCCACTTGGCTTGCTACACATTCACAAAGGAAGGACCCATACATGATTTCTTTGTGACCTGTACAACTTGTAGCACACAGCCGTATACTCACACACAGAGAATTTCTGTCCTGTACATACAATGTCCTGAGTCATGAAATAAAATGCTCTATTTTATTTTTGAAATGGCATGAAGAGACCACAAACCACACCAGGAAACCCAGCATCAAGAGGCGCTACACCCAAGAGAGAATATACAACTGAAGTACACAAAGGTGTTAGGAATTCAACTACCTGCCTGTGAAATGTAAGGATCTCCAGGAGGAAGCTCATCCCTTCCAAGCATTAAAGACTATTTGGAGTACCACAGGTGGCTTGTTTCTTGCCTTCACATCCCATGTGAAATTTAGCCTTGCCAATAACTAAAGCAGAATCTGCTGGGCTTCATTTAGCAATGGTCCACAGAAGAATTCCCATCCATAGTTGTCTATACCATTTAGACAGTACACAGTGGTAATTCATTCAAATATAAGCCTAGCCCAATGTTGTTTACTGCACAGTTACTGACAACACTGAAGTTAAAATGAAAGAGTAGGCTATTCCATTGCAAAAGCACCACATGGGCAGGAGTGGATACTCAGTAGCTAGTATCCAGAATCATCCAACAGCAATCATGCCTAGGTGATATAGTAGGTTGTGGAAATATTGTGATGACTTGGAAAACGTTCTAGTTGGATGTGGTATGTAAATTCCTCATTCCCCCCAAAGGAAGGAAGGAATGACTATAATGGGAATGGTGAGTGTTGATGGACAAAATGAGCTCTTTGAAAGTACAGTCAACAGTTTTTAATCTAATCGATGGCTTCTAAGGCGGTTTGTGGTGATAGGTTTATGTTTCCAAGAATCCTTCCAAAGCACCTAAGCAATGACAATGGGAATTAAGAGAGGAAGAAAACCAGCAAGAAGAGCTGTTCTAGTTCTTTCTCGTTTCAGAGTTTTGTAAAGCAGCTACGTTCTAATCAAGCCTATAAGGTATAAATTCTGCCGCATCCCAAGCAAGGGGAAAGAGAGAAAGGGGTGAAGAACCCGGGGAGCTGGAAATCTGTCTTGTTGTTTTGACTGTTCTTGAGTGCCAAGTGTAAGTTGTCATTAAGAGGCCACAGGGCTCTGGCAAAGTCTACAGGTCCTTGAGTCTCCACAAATACTCCTCTCTGAGAACAGTTCCGTGAATGTGGCAACAGGGCACAAGAAGAGATTTCAGCTCTGAACACCCTAGAAATATCTGTACTAGTTGTGAAGAAATGCCTAGAAAGAGACTAGAGGGGCCAGAGCAGGCCCTTTCAGAGGCCCAGAAATGCTTGGGCCACTTGTAGATTTTGAGGCCCCTAGCCATAACATTTTTTTTTAAATGACATACGATGCACATAAAAACAAGTTGTAAAATTTATCAGCAGCTAAATAATTGTATATACAGTTGAGGCCCTCTGTGGATGTGACTCTCAGGCCAAATGGACCCCCCCTCCCCAAAATAGGCCCTGGGCCAGAGCACACCTTTCCTCTAAGTTCTAAAGGACATGCATCTTTATTTGAGAAATACCCATATATTCTCCAGATGTAAAGAGGTACAAGTGGTGGTTGCCCATACCTTAAATTCACCGGCTTTAAAAGATGAAAACAAATTGAGATGTCCGTATAAAACAAGCATTGGCTTAACTCAGTGGGTTCCTAGTGATCACTGCTTGCTCTTCTGTTTCAGTTTTCAGATAAAGCATTTGCTGGTGTAACCACACTGAAGACTGTTCACATTGAGAACAATAAACTTCACAATCTTCCTGGTAACTTCCCATTCAGCGGTCTTGAGACACTCACCCTGTCTAAAAATCCCTGGCATTGTTCCTGTCAGCTAGCACCTCTGCGCAGGTAAAGAAGGGCTATGTTTCACTGAGTGCACTGACTCCTCTGATCAGAGAAAAGTGTGTGGGGAGGAGGGAAAGTTGGTTAGTTAAGGCACCAATGCCAGTGCAGGGCAGGAGGCTGTAGTAATTCACTCTTACCCAGGAGATCTGACCTAACAAGTGCCCTCTGGCTGCCTATAATTTTTTTTAAAAAAAACCTATTTATACCTCACTTTACTCCCCAATGGGGACCTCAAGTGGTTTACAACTTTATTTTCCATGCCCCCGTTTGATCCTCACAACAGCCCTGCAAGGTAGGTTGAGCTGAGAGTGTTTGTAACTGGCCCACGGTCGCCTAGTAGGCTTCCCTGGCAGAGCAAAGATTCAAACCTGGGTCTCCCAGATCCTAATCCAACATTCTAAACACTATACCACAATGGCTGCTTGTTCGTTCTTCTCTAGGTGGCTGGAATCCACTCGCTCACGCCCTGATGCAGCTTGCGCATCACCTTCTGCAGCTCGAGGACAGCAGATCCGAGACGCTGCTGCACTCCGCAGCTGCAGGCTCCCCACAAAGAGGTCCAAGAAGGGAAGTCGCCATTAAACAGGTAATTGAGAGGTTTTCCCTTTCTACTAAAAGCCACACATCCTGGCCAAAATGCCTCTTTGCCACACATAACATTAACAATTATGCAATTATGGTACAATTTCTTTTTGTTCACTTGCTTCTAATCACTTTTAGCAGCTATGTTGTAGTCACTTGGGAAATATTAGACTGGCAACATAAATTCCCAATTGTTTTAAATAAGGAAGCTTCCCCCCCCCCCTCTCAGCAATATATAGCAACTCCATGAGAATCCAGACAAATACTTAGTAGGGGCTAGGTTGCATGAAGACACTTATTCAGTCACCACTTCATCTGCTTGGAAGACCTTTCTGTTGTTTATGGTCTGTCCCCCCCCTTCTTTTTCCCAATCACAGGACCCAGGAAAAGCTAGTCCTGGTGACTGGCGGCTTTAACCAATCAGAAAACTACTGACTTCTTCCAAGCCCTTCACCACAAGCATCTCCTTCCTTCCCTCCAAGAAACAGATCCAGTTACATCCATTTCCTGCCGAATGCAGATGATAGGATGGAATCCACCATTCATTTGTTTTTCCTGATATTATATATATTATAACTTATGCATGACAATGCTAAGACAAGCTAAACTAGATCCTGCTGGTAAACTACAGTCACCTGCCTAGACTTAATTCAAGCCAGTCAGTTTATCCTGAGGTTTATGGAAACAACTAGCAAACAAAAAAAGTTTATCCATATTCCCAGCCCTGCAAATTGGTGGTTGGCATTAGAAATTCAAAATTCTCTAGCACTCAAGTTTTTAAGCACCAACATTTAAATTCTGTACACAGATTTGACCTTCAGGAAATTAGGATATCTTATCTATCAGTTGGCAAAGGTTGCCAAGATTTGACTGTTAGCATGGGAGAACAAGGTAATGCAGATATTAGGGGAACTTTTGGAAAGACTTGGGGTGGAGGGAAAAGAAGGATCAGAGCACCAGATCTTAAGCTGGTTTAAAAGCAGAGGGAACACCTTCTACAGTGATGTGGAATGTGGTTTCCCAAGAACAGGAAGTTGAAAAACCTCTGCCCTATAACGTCACCAAGTATGCATGTATAAAACAAGGAAGAGAGAGAGATTACCTCTGACACCCTGGAAAATCACCACCATCTTAGTACCATAATGCACAGCAGGAAGCAGCAAGATGACTGTGATTTATCATAATGGATTTAAAGTACCACAATTTCATGTTAACTGCATTTTTTAATACTGAAAGTTTATATAAATATATATTTATTCCTGTAACCGAGTGTAAATGACTCCTAGGAGGATGTTTTCAAAAATAAGCAAAGATGTCCTCCTATTCCTAAGTAGAAAACAAATTGTATATTTTCTTATGTACAACTTCTGTATAAAGCTCTTGCTGCAAAGATGTAGTGACCAAGTTTTCATGCACCCCTCTGTCTCCTCCGTGTGGCACATATTAAGGTTCAGGTACAATGACTTAATGAGTACAGCTGAGCTATGGATTTTCATGCCCCACTGTTGCCTCACAGGTTGAAATTTTTTGAAAAAAGACTTTTTATTCCAGGGTTCACGTGTGTGTGTGTTTGTGCACATACACATGTACACACTGTGGTACAAGTATAGCCTCAGCCTGCATAACTTTGGGGAAATGGCCTCATCTCTTTACCAGAATCTTTTACCTCATTCATTTGGAGCATTGCCTATCGCTCCA